TAGGATGGAGAAAGGAAATGAATCCATCTGATGATTCATCTGACCTGACTCTTAAAGAAAGTTCAATTAAAACAGAAATGTTGCCATTTTAAGATACAGGTCTAAATCTTTCCATGTACATGTTGAAAAGTTAAAACTTTGAAAACTTCTGGACATGATATATAAAATCCTTCACTGCCATCTAAATATGTCACAGCACCATGGGCCTTACGCACTGAGGTCAATGCAGAAACTCATGTCATTCTTGACAAACCCTCAGCTAGGCCTTTTCAGACTTTTTCCTCTTAGGCATATCAATTTTACTTAGCCTGCAGAAAGAAAAATCCGGAATTACGTACRTCAGAGAAACACAGGCCACAAAATATATTTTATTCCTCAAAATCAGTAAGAGAAATAAAGAAGAAAATTCAGCACTTCCCAAACCCCTCGACCATACACCTTCCACCCCCATCAAATCCTCACAAATGGTGGCAACAAGAGCAGACCTTTGTAAGGACTATCAAATAAAGGATGACCTATTAACTACTCACAAGTAACTTTAACTGCTKATTTTCCATGCTAATAAGCTGCATACAGTGACTGTATTTCTAGGATATCCATAAATAAAACTCTATTTAATATTACCACGTTTATAYAATTACTTTCCTTTTTAACATGTAATTTTTAGTACTGTGGAGCTTTTTAATTTAAAAAAAGAAAAAACAATAACAACAACAAAACCCCACTATGTATTACTCTAGTAAGCAACCTTTGAAAAGCCGAGGAAGAAATGCTCTAATGGTCTCCTTCTGTGTTTTAGATCAACATCATGCAGTCAGATGGGATCAACTACCATTTCCATCTCCAAATGAAGTAAAAATCAAATTTGTCTTGGCCAGTAAGGAAAAATGATTAATATCATTGAACCTCTGTCAGAATATTTTGTGTTACACAGATCAAAGGAACACATACAGTATGCAAACCTGTTCTACTAGTAAAAAAGAATGTTTTTGCTGGCACAGAGCCACTCTATTTTCTTGCACTGCCGCCTGACTTTTTTCTTTCTGTCAACTGAGATCCATGCAAAATTGTTCTACTGGCTCCCGACTCACTGTTCATCTTTCAGTCTGTTTGCAATGAGCAAAGAAACTTATTCCTATAAATTTACTTCAAATCAGAATTCTTCGTTACCATTGTAAACATAACATTACCCAGCATATTTCACAACCTTGTCCTTTTTACTGCCGTCAGTGAAATGTTGTATTTTCAACTCTTGCTACATATAATACAAATTTTAATTTTAAAAAGACTTATGTGCTAAAACATTTTTTGAAAATTAAATTTGAAAATAGAAACTCAGTGCTGGGACAATTAATTTTTAAACTAAAGACAAAGTTAAGATTCAGGAAAGCAGATACAGTTATTAGGGAGACTATGTTTTGTATATTCTTGCAAAAGGCTTTGATTTTCAAACAGATATGAAGACATTTGTTATCAAGATTCATAATGAGGTAAGCATGTCATTCTACAGGAAAAAAATATAAGGAGAGACTCTGACTTCTTTCTGTCTCTCTGAAAATTTCAGCCCAAACATGTAACTCCTAGTCTTGGGATACTTAAAAGGGTAAGCACAAAAATCAGCAGCAGCAGYGACAGCCTACACCAAAACAGGTCTCGAATAATGACAGCATTCTCTCATGTCAGTGATACATGCAGCAAAGAGTGTTTAAACAGGCAGTGATACAATAAATCACAACAAATCCTTTTGCTCTGCCATCGGTCTATGGGTTTGAAAGAATGGAAAGTAAGCTTTAACTTCCTGGACCATAAACACTTCAGATCCTATGGTCTATAGTATCTGCTTCCATGTAACTCAAGGTTATCCAGAATAAAGGATCCTCAGATGCAAATGCTTTCTAAACATGTCTTGACCACTTCAAACAAAAACTAATTTATCAAGAGCCAACTGTACAATTACAAGGACAAAGCCAAGCCCAGAGCTGTGGAAGCTGCAAGGAAACAAGGCTATGTTTTCCATGTGACAGCTCAGCTCTACTTCTTTTCCACGTCTACCTCATTCCAAACAGAAAACTACCTGGTGCCCGGATTTCTTTTGGACAAAATATTAGTAACAGATTCAGCGAATAATTGGAGGATAACAGCTCACGCATGAAGTGAGAGCACGCGTTGTAACGTATACGTACAAACCGATCATGTGCAGTCCTGGATGACCAAAAAGAGAACGTAGTCAAAAATACTTTTTTCCAGATATGTCACAATATCTAAGTGCCTTCCAAATAATCAGGAATTCATTCTTACATTTCTACTTAGAAATAAGGAATTACACTTGATATAAAGATCTGATAGACAGAAATACAAAGGTTTTATTTGGATGTCTCCAGGATGTCTACAAGATTAGGTATCCTGTGCTAGAAATAAATTTCATAATCAATTGAGTAGCAACTGTGGCTACTGAATGAATCTGAGGTAAAACTTTATCCAGTAAAGGCCTTTTATTAATTAGCTTTCTTCCTACATAAAATGTCACTGTTTAAACTGTAGTTGTTTTGGGACTTCCCAGGTCTTGTAAGATTACATATCTAGGCTGGGATAATAGCATATACTTGCACAAGTAGTATAAGCACAAAAATCATCAACAGAGACATCCTACACCAAAAGGAAGAAAGGAAAAAACAAAACAAAAAAGAAACCACTTTATTCTGGCCCAACATATGGAAGACAGAGTTCTGGTGACAGCTTACTGCATATTCTTAAGATGACTGTTCTTCTACTGTGTGAGAAAGAGGCTTTTTTTCTTATCCCTGAAATGATTCTCTTCAATAAGTGGTGATTCACTGAACTAGCCCTGAAGCTGCCTTTGGAAGCTCAGTATTCAGAAACCATCTGTGCCAGCAAGTACCAGGAGAGGGCTTTCACTTGATATTTAAACAAATTATACCCTCAGATATTTCAAACATATACTTTATATTTATGTATTTTGGGATACTAGCCATGGGTCTTGATGAAAAGCCAAATTATTTAGTTATTTTTCTTAAATACAGAAAAATACTAGCATTTAACCTCTGCACTTTACGCCATAGACAAAATGAGCACTTCAGAACATGCTAATCTTGTATTCATGCCACCTTACATCTCTTAAATTCATTTAATAGAAGTAGGGCTGCCAGGCCTACAGTCTTGCAAGGGTTAAAGCCTTACATCCCACAATTACATGACTACATCTAATTCATAATGGAAAGCAAAATTTTAATCCTAATTATTAAAAGCATAACAATCCTAGGAAAAAAAAGTCTTGAAAATGTTAACAAGTAAGATAGAGAAGAGGCATCTTATTGGTAAGGTCTTGGTCATTTAAGCCAATCCYGCCATTAGAAAAAAAGGCCTATTTAACAACAGCCTAAAAATAAGCCATGATGCCCAAACGGGCCGACAATGTGACACAGACAGCAAGGAAAGACTCTTGAAGAAGTATTGGCTGAAAAATACTTGCTGTTATGAGCACAATCTTCCTTCCATTTCATAAAGACTGTAAAAACGGTTTATCTGTACTCAACAAGCAATACTCAATCGCAGAATTACCCATCTTTTTCATCAACCTTTTCTATTACGCAAAATAACCATGAGTACTTCTCAACTGAYCAACTGCTAAGATCAGAAGAGTATTATTAAAATACAATGCAATCTCCCCAAGAGAAACTCTGAGTTAATATTTCATTTGAACCAAGAAGTTGGACTGAAACCCAACATTTCACATGGGGAAAAAAAAGGTCAAAACAAACAAGTAAAATCTGAAAAGTTTTACTGGGGGGGGGGGGGAATCTGAAAAATGGGGGGACAGGTCAGTTTGTAAGTGCTATCTCTTTGGACCAGCATACATGTAGTATCCCAGCTGCAACATAAACAGACATATATGTCAAGAAAGATTAATTAGGAGACTGGCAACTTGAATGACACAAACTAGAAGGTTTTTGACAAAAGAGGGAAGGCCAGGAAAGCTCTTGCCAAGTTGGAACTTGCTCACAGATATCAGCTGCAGGGACTTAGCTCTAATTCTTCAACACTGACCTTAGCAAATGAGGAAGACAACTCAGATAAAAGCTACCCAAAATGGGAAATGAAAGGTTTTTTGGAAATAGTTAGCATTTAACCACATTTCAGATAGTTATTCCAAAAAAATGTTTGCCTTTTGCTCAGAATAGAGGGTATATGACAAGGAGAATTACTTTTACTACTACTGCGTAAGCTGATTTAGCAGAAGCATAAGCAGTCCATGTGCATTTGTGCTCTACAAAGAGTTCTCCAAGCTAGTGTGACCACGTCACCATAGTCATTCGCCTTGTCTAATATATCCTGCTTTTGAGGATATTGCTTGGCATTGTGTATGACAGCTGCTTCTTCTTCTAAGGTAACAGGAGAGTTGCCCCAACAAATCTGATTCTGCTCCACAGCATGGTTTACTCTGGAGCATGGAATTTAGCAGGATTAAAAACTCATCTTTGCAGTGGTAGGGGGCACTAGTTAGGCATTCTGTAAAATAATTTGACACAGACTAGTCAAAAACAGTCACTGATATTAAATCAAGCTCTCATTCTAAACCGTAAGCAACACTAGAGTTTCGTGCTTTTCTTCCCAAATATTTCTTCATATTCTCCTGTTTTTTTTTTTTTTTTCCCCTCCTTTGGATTATGCAGAGAAGAAATCTGTCTAAAAGATGGCGAGCACTTTCAGAAAGAACCACATACTTTAGGTTTGACTTTTGTTTCAAAATAACTCTTTAAATATCCATTGAACAATGATAACATTTGAAAACACAACTAAGAAAGGTTATTCTAACTGCAGCAAAATAAAATAAACCGGACTTGTCTTCCTTTTAATTTAGTAATTCATGTAACCCTTTCCAAGTTACACAGTTGACTGAAAGCAATCAGGTCACAGCGCCTCTAGTTATTACTAGTGGGTTTGAATCAATCATTTCTCTTATTGTGCATGTAGACATATACCTCTCCTCCCACGGTAAGCAGCCCAGGCGAATCCAGCTTCCGCTTCTTCCTGGGACCAATAGCTGCCAGTGCAGTTAGATTGGCATCCCTCTGCCTCATTTGTGCAAGTTCTTGTTGCTGCATCTATTACAGAGACAAAAAAAAAAAACATGTTTAGATTTTATTCTGTTCTTATTTCAAAAAACTATTCCCCAGATAAAGCATACAGCTTCGCGGTAGAATAATAAAAAAGTTGTACAAGTTTCCTTTGTTTCCACAGGATTTCTGTTTCCATACACTTCAGCTGTTTTCAAAAGCTTCACCTTTATCCTTAAAAACTGCTTTAGATATTAAATACTGTAATACTAGTTATATACCTTCAGTCTAAGATAAGTACTTCAGTGTAATATCATAAGTACCAGTTGAAATTCTCAAAAAATACAATACTTCAAAGATKGTCTTTCATTTAAGATTCTCAAGTTTACTTTGACTATTTAACTATGCTTGATATTTACATTTCGAAAATCATAAAAAATGAATTAATGTTTGATAACCTGTTTTACTTTTCCCACATTTTTATGGCATTTTACAATTTCAGATACCATAATTTCAGTACCAAAACAGATACAAACATCCATCTCATTTATTTATAGGGTATAAGAATTTCCTAAATAGAAAAACTAAATGTGGAAAAATATCTAAATAATAGTGCAAAGGTCTATACATATTTCCCTTTGCCAACTCATATTAGGTTTTTAGCTCAAATATCTTTGGCTCTCTTCCAGATTAAATGCCAGTTAGACAGACCTGCCCGCTTACCCTTTCAAGGTAGATAGCAACAGTGGTGAGCTCTAATCATTTACAAAGGTCATGATCGGAAGCTAGCCCGTAAGCAGTCATTTAAAATTCGATTGATCCCTATTTGTAGTCAGGGAAAGAAAATGGACATTTCATCTGTATTGTAATTATGAGGCTTCAAGGCAACTGTAAATAGATGTGCAAATCCAGATACCGGCAAATACCTTGGAGAAGAAATTATTACTATAGTATAACTTATAGCCAGGAAAGGTTGAAGATAAAACTGCATATAAAAAAAGATCAATCATCTTTTTGCTAATTTACCATGCTTGCCAGCCTATAAGGGTTATCACAATTATCAGAAGTCTGATGAATATTTAAGCTATGGCCAATTGGCTTAGAGTGATCTCAGACAAAGTTGTAAAGTGGAAGGCTTCATGGAATAAGAAATTTTGCACTAGAGAAGTTTTAGTTTCCTGAGTGGTTCAACTTAGAAATGTAGTGTGACAGGTAACTGGTATAATATAAATGTTATTATAAGAATATTTTCCCACAGTTATCATTTTCAAACTAACAGTAACCTAATACTCGCTTGGCCCATTGTACAGTGTACATCAATTGTTTCAAAATTTCATGTATTTCATGTAGGAACAATACTATTTGGATTTTTTACTATACCAATAGCATTTGACACAAGGATTTTTTTGGTCCCTGTATTTTACATAAAAAMAACAAAAGAAGGTGGGGTCATTGTTTTAAAAAAGTAAAACTACAACATGTTCACAATATTTGTGTTGTTTTCTTTAAGCTATTACTTGGATATATACACATTTAGATATTTCTCTGTATCAGCACACATACATATATGTCAATTCCCATGTATACACCACATATATATATGTGTACACACATATTAGACATTTAGGTATTCAGAAAGGTTCCATTAAGAAGACCATCTATCTATCCAAAGCATCAATATTAAATCTAAATATTTAAATTTAATAATTTCCAAATCACAAGAATGGATTTATTAACAATATACTTTGTAAATACTTTTTCAACAGAAAACTCAACATTTGATTTCTTACAGAATAAAACTCCCAAATCCATTATTCAAATTTGCACTGTAATAAAAGAARAGTGAAGATTATTTTCCTCTCTTCTATAGGATCAAGTTAAAACAAGATGAAATTCAAGGAAGATAGAGTTACGGGTAGGAATTCTATAGATTTGTTCAAGATAGACATTTGGTTTTGAGAGACAATCACAAAATGAAAGCTCGATACTTCATAGAAAAACTCTCAGATCTGAAGTCAAATGCATTTTTCACTCCTGAAAATTAAATTGCCTCACTGTGCCTGTAATCTGTACTGTAAACAGARAATTCTTCTTCTTCAGTGAACACAAAAGTGAATGTCCCAGGAGAAATACATCTGCTAATGTTAACTATGCAAACACTGATGTGCATTTCACTTGCTGAGCTGTATGTTTAGGGAGTGATAACTAGAAATTTAGACCCTATAAACATAATCAGTGAAGGGATAATATTTCAATATTTAACATCAAATATTTAACTACTCAATCAGAGCAGTATTTTAACAGTCAAGGTCTACCTATTTTCCTGCTACCAAATCATTAAAATAGTTAATAAAAAGCTATTTATCCTGGAATTACTTTTTGACGTGTATCTTGCACATTTTTTTCAAGAATTACAAGTATTATTACTTCCCAARTTGATTAGATCATTGTACATCTGTGTTACTATTAATGCAGTAATCGGGTCTTCACAGAAAACAAAACAATTACACAGATTTTATGCAGCACAAATGCATCTATAGAAAAAATCTGAAGGAAGAATTTGGATACTCAATTTTACAAGGGAAATTTTGCCACATATCTGAAGAAATTCTTCAGCAACACTGAAAGAGAACAAATATTAGTGAGAGGAAAGAAGAGGTGGCACTGGTACAGCAAAAGTGGGAGCTGGTGCCACGATAGCAGCCCAGCTTCGGAACRGTGCAGCAGGGCTGTGGATTGGCACGCAAGTAATGAAAACACGACTGTTTGATGAAGAGGGTCCTTTTTTTACACTATAGTAAGGGAAATTTCCATCATGCTCAGAAAGTAGGATGGCAACTGGGCACTGGGAATTCCACCAATTCAAGGCAACACACCACAGCCTTCAAAAACAAAATGGAGAAGAAAGAGTGACATCCCATGGGAGAGAAAGTGTCTAAAGAAACACAGAAATAGCACACCTGGTGCTAAGAAACCCATTCAAAGTACCCAAAGTCAAATAGCGTGTAATTGTGCTGGACCAGAGAAGTTTTCATTTATTATAATAGTGAAGTCTACACTGAACACATCCTGTGAGATTTTTAAACACTCATAGTTCTGCTAAATCACATTTAAYTCTCTTCAATGCAAATGCTACCCTTCCACAAAAGCTCTCCCATAGCTAAATAAAACCTCCAAACCTTAGTTGCACTGGCTATATATCTGTTCAAAAGAGATCAAGAATTTACTGTACTGGAAAAGGTGCCTTTTTYTTCTTCTTTTCCCCACACCTTTAAYAACAATTGAAAATTATTGTGCACTGTTTGAAAAAAATCACCCCGAGCAAAGAYTAAGCTTGGAACATWTCAGCCCCCGAGGTGAATRTTTCTTAAAATAATGAACATCTGAATAGTGTTCTGGAACCTTAACTGAGGTAACTTTTGATGAGGGGTTTTTCCTGCAATAGACTCATACTGATTATTATTCCTAATTTCATTACATTCCAAAACTTTAGTTGGATTTTCCTTCAACACTTGTTCCTTTGCTGTTGGGATAATATGTTAGGCTTCTGATACATAMAATGTGACTCCTTTTCCACTAGTCCATTGGACTAACTTTTAAGAGATGCTCTTAACCTCTTGTCAGTCGTGTATGTACTTGTTTGGTTACGTTTTTTGGTAGTATAGCATAGTCTTTTATTACTATTTCTACTACATCTCCTATATGCAATTGAAATCTCAAATCATTATGAACTAGTATGCCAAAACTTCATCAAAAACATTCTTGTTTAGTATGCCAATTGCAGTCAACTGAAGACTGAGATATGTAGGATGATCCTGACTTCAGGAAAATTAATGGAGAGAGGATGTCACACCATAACACCTCAGAACTATAGGAAGTGTTTTCTCCATTTCTTAAATTAAATATTTCTGATGCTAAAATTTCTCTGCCTATACACCAACGCTACAAACCTTAAAGATGGCAGAAACAAAGTACATTTAAAATACTAAATAACAAATTCTGGTAAGAGGTTTTATTAACTAGATTATTCAAAAAATGTCCAGATTTTGGTACCAGCCCTCTACCATTCTTGGGGGAAATTTGCATCTTTAAACTGCCAGTCTCATTTGAGGATATGAGGAAAATGTGGCAATCTACTAAAAATCATTTGGCTGTAATAAGTAATTTTAATCAAATAGTTAGAGAGAATGTCATTGAAGTTAATTTCTAAAGTGTTATAAACAGATGGGAAATGGGTAGTGTAGAGAATGGTTGTGCACTTTTAATGCAATATCCTTTTTTTGCAGTCTGGATCATGGTTTGATCAAGTCTAAGTGACATGACAAAAACAATTTTAATTTATTCTGAACCTATATTCAACTTAAGAATACACAATATAGCAAGTATGCTACTCTGCTCAAAAGCCAGATTTGAGGCAAAGGAACGTGAAGAACAAAACTAGCCTGACACCCACCTTCTCCCCGTTGTGGGGGTAGCACTGGGGGCTCACTTGCAAAATGGAAGTTCCTCCGGGGATGCAAAACAAGCTTGGAATTTAAATAATCTACATCTTCCCTATTTTAGATTTAACTATAGAAAAACCGCTACTGCTCATTTCTCCTGCAGATCAAGGGAACAAAATACCAGTGTGAGGACGAAATATTTCAAGCAATTTTTCACACACTGACAAGTAGTAAATTAGGGAATCTTGTAAGTACAATACAGTAGTCATCCCCTTCTATTGATCACATATAATTTACATCTTACAAAGATGTGAATTCTTGCATTCTCACTCCACAAGGAAAATCTCAATGATTTATTCATTTCAAATAAAAAATAGAAGGTAGATGAGAAGAATTACTTCACAGGCTGTAGCTTTCTCAGGGCACTAGTGCTAGGCTCTTCTTTCGCACTGCCCGAAGGGCCTTTGTGTGCAAGTCCCTCTAATTAACAAGGTGAATCATGCAGCAGTTCCCTAATTAGTGAACATGACAAGCCAATGGAAACAAGCAGACAGACCTGGCGTACAGATATGGTCAACAAAAGGCACAGCAATGTGCCATTAAAAA